GGCCACGTGCAAGGCAAATGCCCTACCCGCTGTGCCATCGCTCCAGTCTCTGCCCTTTTGTTTCTTGCTCCACATAAATGTTTAAGTCCTACCCCCTGGTATCTCAGAATGTTACCTTGCTTGGGAATAGTGTTATTGTAAATGTAATTAGATTTAACTAGTAGCTAGTCAATCACTTTTGAAGGCAGGAGTTTATTATAAGCCCAGCTGGCACCTGGAATTTCTGAAGTTATAGTTATAGTTATAGTTATAGGGGGGAGACTCTCCAGTGAGCTGTGAGGGGTTTCTGTGACATATGTTGTACATACAGATTCAAATGTGTCTGAAGATTTAGAGTTGGCTGTGGGCTGGAGCACATACTTGGCATGTGGGGGAATAATTTTTTTTCTTTTTTTTTTTTCTGTCGGGAGTGGGGTGGGGGAGGACCACACCTGACAGTGCTTAGGGCTTATTTCTGGTTCTGTGCCTTGGTACAGTGAGTATCCCTAGGTTTGATCTCCTGAACCACTTGGTTCCTAAGCACTTCCAGGAATGATCAACCCTGATCATAGTTCAGAATTTGAGGTGTGTGTGTAGGGGTGAGGGAGAATGAGAGAGCAAGAGAGAGAGAGAAGGAGAGAGAAGAGTGTCAGAGTTGGTCTGTTTTTATATATTAATTATTAGCATCCTAGAGAAATTAAGGGTGAATATATTTGGATGTACATCTCCATTTCAGTGGATTTAGAAATGAAAGAGCAAGCACCTTAGAAGAACAAGTGGTCAGCCGAATTGGGAAGCCAAGGAAACTGGCTATGTTCATGGGAAAAATTATAATATATTCTAGCAGTCTCAGATTGGAGAAGCCCTGCAAAAGATATTATTAAACCATACTTCAACTTTTTATCTATTTTTTTCTAAAGATACTATTAAACCTTGCTTCAACTTTCTGCCTATTACTATTTTTTTCCCAACACCAGCTAAATATGGCAACAATGACAAAAATCAGAACCAGTTTGCTCTTCAGCATGTATTCTTGAGCATATATCTTGCTTGCTTGTCTTGCTTCTACTCTGGGGAAGCCTATGGTCTCTCTTGAACAAGTACTTCCTCTATTTCTCTCCCCTCAAATCATTCTAAGTTTCATTCAGTAAAAACTATCTCGCGAGAGAAAGAGAGAGAACGCACCATGTCTAAGGTTTCCTGTAATAGTACAGGAAGTGATTATAGATTCAAGTAAAAATTTTACCTATAGTTTTATTCAAGTAAATATAGCTATATAATTTGGGATAATTTATTTCCTTTTTCTTTGGGCCCTCCATTTTCCCCACCCCACCATAAATGAGAACCAGTATATTGCTATCATAGGTTTTGTGATGATTAAATAAGATCATAATCCTTGTAAAATAATGAATAGGGTTTTTTTTGGCTTTTGGGGCCACACCCAGCGATGCACAGGGGTTACTCCTGGCTCTGCACTCAGGAACTACCCCTGGTGGTGCTCAGGGGACCATATCGGGAATCAAACCCGGATCGGCTGCGTGCAAGGCAAACGCCCTACCCGCTGTGCTATTGCTCCAGCCCCATGAATAGGATTCTTGGCACTTGTAAAGAGCTAATAGATGTTAACTAATAGCAGAAGAAAGGCAGTAGCTGTACGGCTGCTACATGCATGCTACTTACCCATATTTACTCCATAAAAATGCATAATATACTCCAGAGTGATAGTACAGTGGGAGCCGCATTTGCCTTGCATGCTGATGACCTGGGTTTGATCCCTGGCATCTCATATGGTCCCCTGAGCACCACTGAGAATAATTCCTGAATATAAAGCCAGGAGTAACCCCTGAGCATTGCCAGTGTGGCCCCAAACACAACAAAGTTTTAAAAATGCATATTACCTTCTATTGTACTATTATAAACTCAGTCAGTTTTAGGAATCTGATGCTCTTCATTCTCTTTTTGACTTTGGGTGTTTGAACCACACCTGGTGGTATTCAGAGACTACTCCTGGCTCAGTCCTCAGAGGTTGCTTCTGGTGGTGCTCAGGGACCATTTGGTGCTGTGAATTGCATCTGGGCCTCCCATAATCATCCACAGCCCTATAACTTATCTCCATGGCCCCATTGCTCTTCTTTTGAGGAAGTCAGAGCAGAATTAGAGAAAGCTCTGATCTGTTGGGTCTTTCATTTTTAATGTGTGCTGCCTTCTAAATCATTGAACCATTTATTCCTTTTTGTTTTAAGTCAGTCTTTTCTTTCAAAGAAACTGATTCTTTCCTCCTTTTGGTTTTAATTTTTTCTTATATAAAAGCTTTAACACTATTAAAATCTTCAAATTAGACTTGATTACTTAAAACAAATTAGGATACACAAAAACTGTATTACTGCTTGAGTAAACGACTGTATTACTGCTTGAGTGAAAGACCGTGTTACTGCTTGATTACCTATAGATTGTCTCTGAGGGAACAAAGAAATGGGTCGTGGGAGTGGAGAAACTGGAGTAGGAGGACCAGTTTCTAATGATAAACTGTGACTGTTATTTCTGAAACCCTCCAAGTTCTGTAGAATACCCAGCTCTATTACATGTTGGTAAAATAGAGCAAGGAAGAATGTGGTAAGTAATTTTCTATAGTTATTGAAACTTAGAGGGCTTAAAAACTCAAGTAATTAAATTCAGATAACAATTTGGAGATAATCCTTGTGATGGCCACACTCTGGAGTGAAGTAGATTCGCATAAATGGAAATTCTTTAGTTCCATTTGGTTGAGGACTACTGCTGGGAATTTCCAGATGCCTCTGTTTCTGATTTATGTATGACCTTGGATAAATTTCTTACTGCACTTCCTCTTCTGTCTGTGATGCAGATGAGTAGTCCTGTTGTCGTCTGGTGTGTTAGATTTTTGCAGCATAAAAATGAAATCATGTGAAAATTAACCCACTTCTGACCTTAGCCAGGCTGGAAGACTAGGATCTTAATGAATTTTTGGAGAAATGAAAGTTTTTTGGGCTACACTTGTCTTTTGAGCCACACCTGGCTCTGCTCCTGGTTCTGCACTCAGGAATTACTCCTGGCGGGCTTTGGAGGACCATATGAAATTCCGGACATTGAACCTCTGTTGACTGCATGCAAAGCAAATGCCCTATCTATTGTACTGTTGTTCTGGCCCAAAGTTCTACTTTTTTTTCTGAAATAGAAACATTTTGAAATAAGACAATTCTCAAATAGCTTTTGAAGACATGAATTCCATTTAGCACCCATGACATATCTAATTTAGATAATTAAGTTCTTACGATAGAAAATAATATTTAATTTCTGTGACATGCTGTAGACATTAACTTTAAAACAGTGAAGCTGCTTAGTTGTAAGAAACTGTGTTAATAGTATCATAGCCGATTTACTCATGGGAAATAACAGTGCTTGATATGTATAAGCAAAAACATTTTCATATCTTTATGATAGTTCTTCAAGGTAATTTTTCTTTAATAAACAGCATATCTAGGCTGGAGAGAGAGGATAGAGAGTACAGAGGAGAAGGCACTTGCCTTGCTGATGCCACACATTTCAAATCATAATACCACCTATGATCTCCTGGGCATAGCCAGCTGTGGCCCCTTCCCTTGGAGCCTGGAGTAGTTCTATGGGAAGGACCTAGCACATAGCCTGGTGTGGGTTCCCCAAACAAAATTCAATATATCTACATGGTTAAGCTGTCTTCCCATAGATTCTTATTATTAGCAAAAGAAAAAAATAACTTTATAGTGGAGAAACTATGAAGTTGTTCCTTAAGTCAGTGCTACCTTGCTTTTCTTTTTATATACTTTGCTGATTTTTTATAACTGCTATTTTTTTCCTTCCTTAGCTTTCTTTGTCTTGATACTTTATTTTTCTACCTCTGATTTTTTAAAAATTTTTATTAGTGAGACATCATGAGGTACAGTTGTAGACTTACAATTTTTTGTGCTTGGGTTTCAATTATATAATGATCAAATACGCATCCCTCCACCAGTGCCCATTTCCTACCACCACGGGTCCCAGTATCCCTCCCACCCCCCATCCCACCCATCCCACCCTGCCTCTGTGGCAGGGCATTCCCTTTTGTTCTCTCTCTCTTATTGGGTGTTATGGTTTGCAAAAGAGGCAATAGGTGACAGTCATGTTTGGTCTATAGTCTACTTTCAGCATGCTTCTCCCATCCTGGGAGGATCCTTCCAACGCCCTTTATTTGGTGCTCCCTTCTCTATCTGAGCTCCTTTTCCCCCTAGCATGTGTGATTGGCCTCCAAGCCATGGAGTAAAATTAAAAAATATGGAACGCTTCACGAATTTGCATGTCATCCTTGCGCAGGGGCCATGCTAATCTTCTCTGTATCGTTCCAATTTTAGTTTATGTGCTGCAGAAGCGAGCACTATAACTGCTATTTTTATATAAAACATTTATGTATTTAAGAAATCTACACTTCAGGGTTAAAGAAGTAAGCCTGCCATTTTCAAACAAAGAGACAAAGAGATATAGAAATAATATGTGAAGAGAGTGATACATGATTATATATTAAAACCAAGAGAATATATATGGATTAAGGTTATATGGAAATTCTTAATGCTGTTTTTGCAACTTTCCCCCCCTTTTTGGGGGGGTTTGGCTTTTTGGGTCACACCGGCGATGATCAGGGGTTACTCCTGGTTCTACACTCCTGACGATCCTGGGGGAACCATATGGGATGCCATTCTACTTGCTGTACTATTGCTCCAGCCCTTGAAACTTTCCTAAGTCTAAAGTTTTCTTAATAGTAAAGGTAACAGTAGCTGGGGTGTGGTTGGCAGGCTGGAGGGTGGAACTGGGAAATGTTGGTCAGTAGAAGGCTGCTTGCCTTGTGTATGGAAAATGTGGGTTTGATCCCTGGCTCTATAAAAATATTCATTATGTATATATATATACACACACACACACATATATATATATAGGTGTATATTTGTTTTATGCTATGTCAAAACTTAATGTTTTCTCCCTCTTGTCCTTCCCAGCTTGGTGATCCAGCTGTTTTTCCTGCTGTAATTGTGGAACATGTTCCTGGTGCTGATATTCTCAATAGTTATGCAGGTCTGGCCTGTGTGGAAGAACCCAATGATATGATTACTGAGAGCTCCCTAGATGTTGCCGAAGAAGAAATCATAGATGATGATGATGATGACATTACCCTTACAGGTATGTCACCTTTACAGGTGTGCTCCCACTAGCAGAACATTTCAGCAGAGTTTTAGGCAGTGTCCTTACCCCCTATTTTTTCTGTAAGGGAGGACAGGGTCTGGGAGATACATACAAAGAGAAGACCTCCATAGTAGACCCAAATCCATAAATTACATTGAGGAAACTGTATGTAGAACTTGGCATGATATTGGCTCTAGCAGCATCTTCAATACCAAGCAAAAAGAATAAAAATAATTACATGAAATCAAATAAAGAAGTTATGCACCACAGAAGAAATGATAACTTGAATTTAAAAACGCCCTATAGACTAGAAAAAATAATCTCTGGCTACACATCTGGCAGAGGACTAGTATCCAAGATATATAATGCACTTACAAAACTTAACAACAAAATAAACAGCCCCATTACAAAACGGGGTGAGGAGCTAAACATACTTTTCCCCAAAGACGACATACAGATGGCCAATAGGTATATGCAGAAGTGCTTTTTATCACCAGAGAAACACAAATAAAAGTAAAAGTGAGTTATTAAACTGAGAACTGGTCTTAAGTAGGATGTTTACCATGTTGGGGATGTGTGGGGGGAGAATCGGATAGGGGGACACTGGGACAATGGTGGAAGGAAGTAGGTACTCTGGTGGAGGGTGTGGTGCCAGGATGATTTATACAACAAACCCTTCCATTAATAGTATTATAAGCCACGGTGCCTAAAATAAAATAAAATGGAAAAATGGAGATATCATCTTCCACCAGTGAGACTGATACACATCAAAAATAATAGAAGCAGTCAGTGTTGGTAGAGCTGTGGCTATACAGAGCCCTCATTCACTGTTGGTGGGAATGTTGTCCGGTTCAGCCTCTGGAATATGATATAGAAACTTTTTTAAAAGTTAAGAACTGAGGGCTGAAGCAAAGTACAGCAGGTAGGACCTTTGCCTTGCACACGGCAGCCCAGGTTCCGTCCCCAGCATCCCACATGGTCTCCTGAGCACTACCAGGAGTAATTCCTGAGTGCAGATCCACGTGTGACCTAAAAAACCAAAAAAAAAAAAAAATTAACTGAATTTCCGCATGACAAATTCTTCATCTTTGCATATGCTCCAAAAGTCCAAAAAGGTTATTTTGAAAAGATAGTTGCGCTCCCTATATTGACTGTAGCACTATTCACAATTGCCAAGATCCTGAGCCAGTGAGATAGTAAAGTGGGTGAGGTGCTTGTTGTATACCCTGATGACCTGGGTTTGGTACCTGGCACCACATATTGGTGCCTCTAGTGCCGTTAAACCTGAGCACAGTGCCAACAATAAGCTCTGGTTCCTCCACCTCCCATTTTTTTTTAATTGTCAAGATCTGGAAACAACTTAGATACCCAAGAATAGATGAATAGATAAAGAAATTTTGGTATATATACACAATGAAATACTACTAAGCTGTAAGAAAAATGAATCGTGCAGTTTCTAATCTATCCTGCCATATGGTGCCTCTTGGTTGTTGAATTCAGACCATTGAGGTTATTGAGGTGAAAGATTTTATTGCCATCATTCTGTATAAATCACGGGTGTGAAGGTTTTCTTGCCTCTTAAATAAGGCCATTTAATGCTTCTTGCAAAGCTGGTTTCAGAGTTGTGAACTTCTTCAGCTTATCCATGAAGCTTTCTGTCATTCCTTTGAGTAACAGACAATCTAGCAGATAGGATATGCTTTATTAAGATGTTTATTTTGTTCAGCTTATTTGCTATGTCCCAGCATTTTCTTTGGACCTGTACGTTTCCTTTGTTTCTGTTACGAATCTTAATGAGATCCTCTTTGTATATAAGTTCCTACTGTTCTCAGGAGTCTGTCCCTGTCTTTGGCTTTGTCATTTTAATTACAGTGTTTTGGAGTTTTCCTATATGGGTTTATTTATTTTAACTCGAACTCTTTGAACGTCTTGAATCTGGGTGTGTGACTCAATCTTCAACTTGGGAAAATCTCAGATATAATTTCTATGACCAATAGTTCTTCATCTTGCCTTTCTGTTCCATAGGGACACCCATGAGTTTTATATTGTTCTTCTTGAACTCTTCCCATAATTCTCTGATACATTCTTCAGTTCCTTTCAGACATTTTCCCATCTTCTGTTACTTATTGATGATTTCTTACATCGTTAAGCTCACTGATTTGTTTTTCAGCTTCTCTCACTCTACTATGAGACCTTGAGTGAGATTTTTATTTTATCTACCATGTTTTTCAGCACTGTCACTCCTACTGTTATTTTCTCATGTCTTCTCTCATAATTCTTTCTTTATTGGAGATCTGCATTATTTTTTCTTTCATTTCATTAAACAGCTTCCTTCGAAATTGTCATTGAGAGACTATAGACCTGTTGGGTACTAGGGGACCCTTATAGAATATTATCCTCACCCATTAATTTTGATGGACTCCTCCATGCGTTCATTAGATCTGCTGAGCACTGAGGGCTATGGGTGAGGGCCTGGCTTTGTGTAGGCCGAGGTTGCAATTTAAATCCTACATTGCCAGTTCTGCTTGGATCCTGTGCTGCTGTGTTTATGTTGAGCCCAGCTGCTATTGAACTTCTGTAGAAGGAATCTCTGCTTTCTTCTTTTATATAGAGTTCCCAGTGATTCACCCTGGTCCTTTGGCTGCAGTTCTTGGGTTTGGGCCCTCCAGTATTCACAGTTCTGCTCTTCCCCACCCCACTCTGACTCAGCTTATTCTCTAACTAAATCGATAGATAACTCCTCCACGGTGTGGGTGTGGGGTGAGAACACACTGTTTTGTCTTTGTCAGGTGCTCCATAGGGTCAGAAGTCTCTGCCTGAAGGGCTGGTGGAAATAGGCTTCTGTGCCTGTAGCTGCAAAGGTGCATCCCACTCTTTCTGCCTGGGAGACTGTGAGGCACTGGACCAGCTACCCGCGCAGGCTCTGTGCAGTGGAGACCACAGTGTATTTGCAACCTACAAATTTCACTGCACTTACAGTGCCTCCATGGTCAGCCTCTGCAGTCGGCTCTCCAAACTTCTAGGTATAGGATCCAGCAGATGACTGTGCCCTTGCTCTTCCCACTTGGGAACACTCAGGTAGATTGCTGCTGCATTCTTTTTTTTGGGTTTTTTTCTTTTTTGCTCTTTTGCGTCACACTCGGCAATGCACAGGGGTTATTCCTGGCTCATGCACTCAGGAATTATTCCTGGCGGTGCTCGGGGGACCATATGGGGTGCTGGGAATCGAACCAGGGTCAGCTGCGTGCAAGGCAAACACCCTACCCGCTGTGCTATCGCTCCAGCCCCTGCTGCCGCATTCTTTCTCTGCAGGACCACTCACAGAATTTTTGGATCATATCTGTTTTGTCATATTCCCTACCTACTGCAATTCACAGGATACCCTTTTCTGGCATCTTGGCCTCTGCTCTGTTAATGTTATTTGTTTGTAATAGTTTGTAATAAATTCATTTATTTTTCATTTCTCATACTCTTGACACTTTGGATAAATTGCTGGTCAAATTGCTGGTCAGACATTATAGAATATCACTCAATTTTACATGTGTATTTTTTTATATTTGTACTGATATCAAGTATTTTGGCCAAGAGCACCACTGAAGGGATGAAGGAGATAGCTCAATGGACTGGAACACATGCTTTGCACACAGAAGGCTGAGTGATCCCCAGTGAACTGCCAAGAATGACCCCTGAGCACCAAATGGGGAGCAGCCCCCAAGCTCTGCTAGGTGGCCCTTAACAAAAATCACAGCAATGGCCTCATCACCTTTTTAGTACATATTAATGTACATTTTCAAAGATTTAGTTAAAATTAATTCACGGATTAAATGATTTTTGTTAATAAAACTTTCAAAATTTTCATTATTGTTCTGAACAACATAAAGAGTTTAATCAGAGGTTTCTAGCTCTTTTGGGTAATTAGTATTTCATTTGTTTGCTTGGCTTTGGGGCCATACCAGCTCTGCTCAGGAATCACTCCTAGCTGTGTTTAGGGTACCAAGTGTGGTGTTGGGGATTGAACCCAAGTTAACCATGTAAGATAAATTTTCTCTGGCCCCACTGATGAGATTTTTGCTGTTGCATTTTAATACAACTTACTTATGCCTTCATTATGGCTACTCTCTAGAAGAACCAGGATTTTCCCTAAAGGTATTTTCATTGGTTTTAATCTTTGGGGAAGAAATAGACTAGGAAAGCAGATCTGGGATCTTAAAGAAAAGGAACTGCTTCTACCTTTCAGTGCTTTATGTTCTTGAATCTTCCACTTGAAGAAGGACGAAGACAGGTCTCTTTCTTCCAGAAAAATGCAAGTGGTATTGAATGGGTACAGAGACCAAGCTATTTCTTAAAAATGTGGAAGAATTCCCTAGATTTTCTAGTTGTGTTTTTTTTTTCTCCTGCCTCTTCTTATCTTCCACCCCCAGCTTTTGTTTTCTCTTCCATTCAGTGTCATGAGAAAAAAAAAAATCCTTCTAATCTAGAGTGGGGGAGGGAGAACACAACACCCAAGAAACAGAAGGGCAAAGAGATAGTACTATTTATATGTTTGGGATTGTTCACAAGGTTTTATTTGGAAAAGATTGTGCTGCTAAAAAAAAATTTTTTTTTAATAGGGCCAAAGTGATAGTACAACAGGTCTGGGCATTTGCCTTACACATTGCTGACCAGATTCAGTCCCCAACTCCCTGTATCATTCCCCAAGCACTGCCAGGCATTAATTCCTGAGTGCAGAGACTGGAGTAACCCCTAAGCACTACTAGGTGTGTTTCCTCCTCCCCCATTTTTTTTTAACCATTTGACTAAGAACTCTTATCTATGTGGATATTCTTCTGTTGCCAATCTTTGAGGATGAAAGTGAAATTGCTAGGGGCCAGAGATAGAGCTGAAGTGGTAGAGCACATGCAAGGCATGTGCTAGGTCCTGTGTTTCATCCACAACATCATGAGGTCCTGAGCACCACAGCAAATGGCCATGGTGCCCCCACCGCATTGCTGGATGTC